ATTTCATGATATCGTTGCAACACATAAATGAAATAAATACCATTGGAATACATGTTCGTCTCCCTAAGATCCATTCAACAATGATCCTGATATTAATCAGTTCAGCTAGTGCAGTCAGTGTTAATAAATGAATAATAGTGAAGTAGCACAGTCCGAATGATTAACAAGTATCGCAATGTTGGGATATGTAGTTCAATTGGACTCAAAATCCTGACACTTCAATATATAATCTTGAAATCTTAAATAACTCTGAACGAATATATCTGACAAATTACCATAAAAGGTACATAGGTTTGGATTAAAAAGAATTTACCGAAATTTAATCGAGCTGGGAAATATTAAAATAATTCTGATATTCAAATGATTGAAATACCCCTAAACCCCAAAAAGGATTAGAATACCTCAAACTCTAAGATGACCGAAGTAACCTCGAGTGTGGAAGTGACCCAAATATCATAACAACTTAAAATAAGTGAATATCTTTGGATAAATTCTAGAAACACCAACAAACTTATGGTGTATCATCCCTAAAGGTTATGGAGCATAACTCAAGTGTGCTAAGTATTCTTGATACTAATGCATCCCAGAAATGTATAATACTATCAAATACATGATCGTCTCCTCTAGTTTTGTTCAGTAGTGATTCTAAAAGTGACCAGTCCAACAAGTGTAATCAATATTAAGAAGTGATTATTCATGAAGTATATCATTTCGGAATATTGACAAGTTTTACAGAGTGGAGATCGGTTAGTACGATTTGACTTGAAATTAGGATAATTTGGTATAAATTCAAAATAATGCAAACTAACATTTTACCATTTTTGGATTAAGTTACTAAGAATCCATTAGAAATTAAAATGTCCAGAATACTCATATTTTCCTAAATAATGGGAACACTCGTGTTATATCTAAATCTTCAATAACTCTGATGTAAAAGATTCTGAATGCCTTCCTGATTACTCAATTACCTCCAAAAATATCTGAATATTATATGATCTTGAAAATCATTTCCCGAATGAATAATGAATCAGTTAGCTATCAAACCCCCTTTTTATAGGGATCTTGATTCTAAAATCCTATTAAATTATAAAAGTTTCATGGTTTCATACCTGATAAATACCAAGTATCTCCGAAGATTATCTAGATCCTCTAGTGTGTTCCTTAAGTGATATGTAAATATTTTACCTGTTTTAAAAAGTGATTTTTTGAAATTATTGATTTACTAATTTATTGGCTTATGAACTATGGCTACATGGTATGTGTTCTCTAGTTACCAATTTTCACTAAAAAATATAATCATTCATGATTTATGGATCTCGGAATCTATTGTTTATTGTATAAACTGATTACTAGGGTATCATTTGGGTAGGTTGAAGTATGGAGGTTTAGCTCTGATCAAGTTGGTAATTCCTTTTGGACCTAAGGTGACCTTGGGTAGGCTTTAAAGCCCTAAGGCACTCCCTTGGGTAAATCATGGGATTGCATATGGTGTATCGGTGGATGGAAGTTATGTGGTTTATTTCATTATCACTTTTACGAGATTTTATTGGATCACGATCCTGATATTACTATTTACTGTTAAATATGATTTCTACTAGATATTGTATGGGTAGGATTCTGGAGTATGGAGGTTCAACTCTGATCTAGCTGGTAATTCCTTGCGGACCTAAGGAGACCCTTGGGTAGGCCCATAGGCCTCAAGATATTCCCTTAGGGTGGCTCCTTTGCTGTGTGCTTAGGGTAAGTCCTTATGGAGACAGTTCTGGGGAACTCCATATTGGTGCTAGGTTGAAGAGTTTTATTATGGTTTTAAAATATGTTTTAAATTGTTACTGTTTTAAAAAGATCTCTATGGAACATACTAGACACCCTATTATGATCTCCTGAACCTGGTCCTCTGAATGTTTCCTCTGAACTGAATCTTCATGTCTTTTACTCGAAGAAATATCAGTAGAACCTCAGCTCATCCCGAAAACCTGTAGACGTCTGAATCAATAAAGAAAATTTATGTTATTCTATTTATCCACATGTCTTACAGTATCACTTGGTATTTATGTATTACTAAGCTTCCCAAAGCTCACTCTTTTACTCTCTATTTTAGGTTAAAAGAATCGATCCAATGCAGCTATTAGCTTCATAATTGGGAGTTCTATTCGGCTTTTCTTGCAGACGGTACAATATGTCATTAGGGGGATGTAGGTCACATTTGACTTATTTTATACAAAGTCTAGAACTTGTATGTATTTATAAAAAAATATGATTTTACACGTTTTAATTAAAAAGCAATTTAATTTTTCCTGGATTTTTATTGTGGGTCACTCCGGTGGCCCTAATGTGACACCTCGGATCGGATTGGGTCACCTGCATCGGTCTGTGGGTGTTAAAAGAGTACTCCTTTATAATTTTTTAATTTGATTTCTAATATTTTTTCTTAAAAGATTAGTAAGTCATGCTAAAAAAGTTTATTTTCAAAAGGGTTGTTGATTATCAAATCTTTGCATTAGGCTAGTCATAAAACGTCTTTATACCATTTAAATTTTGTTATTTTTTTACATTTTAAGTTTGATAATAATTCTGAATTTCTATTTTTAAAGTGAGATGGGTCACCTATAAAATGTTTGGAGATAAAAAAAAAAATCAAAGTTGCAACTGCATCTTGAATTTTGAGTTGGTATAGGAGTATTTAGAGCTATAAGCTAAGATTCTAAGGCACTAAGTCTATCTTGTATTTCTGTTAAAAAAATTTGAAAATTTTTAGGAATTACATAATCCGTAAATATTGGTTCTATCGAATCTTCTTTAACATTTTATTTTGCTATATATTTTTTGGGGTATAATTAAATTGTATCTTCAATTTAATCTAATTCTTTTCCTATAGAATGAAGGCTAATATTCACATAATTATTTTGTTTAACAATTATTTTAATATCTTTTGATGAGATTTGTTCTCTTGCATTAAGACTCCTCATTTTTAAAAAACTTGCTCTTATTCCAGTATTTTTGTGAGTATATTGGACTTCAGTTAAAGGGGATGTTGAGACTCAACTTCTCCTTTATTAGTTTGTCGTTTGGTACAATTTTTCATCGTATTAGCAGAGTCTAAAAAGTATTCTTTGAACCATTAAAGAATTCTATGTGAATTTTATGAGTATTAATAAACTCGTAATATTTTTTAAGGATCTTGTCCTTTTCATTTTTGGTAATTTTTAAAATATTCTTCTCTTAATTGTTTGCTTTTGTTGGACTAGAAATGTTTTCTATACCATTCTTTATTGATTTCAAAAGGATTTTGTAAAACATAAATTTCTGAATTTTCTTCTATTTTTACATTATTAATCATTGAAGAATATATAGGTGACATTACTAGCGAGTTTTGAGAAATTTCTATTTGTCTACCATTGGAGGAACTTTTTGTTTGTCTAGCATAAATAGGTTGGGGTATTTTTGAGGAATTATTTATTCCTTGTAAATTAGTTTTAAACGAACTAGGTACAAAGAGATAGAAGCTCTAGTTGTTCTAAATCAAGGCTTTGATTTTCTATAAATTAGATTGGAATAGGAGAGACAGATGTTCTTACTTTTCTAAAATCTTGGTGTTGGGTATCTATAATTTATTCTTTTCTATATTTAGTTTTTTGAAAGGTTGAACTTAAACTAGCTATATCAAAAGAATATCTTGGAGGTAATTTGTTTGACATGTTAATTATTAATTCGACAGTGTCATCTTGATGTTGAGAGATTTCTCTTAAAGAATTATTCGTAGTAGGAACTAGTTCTAGAGAATCTGTAGGACCTTTTAATTTTCATCTTTCAGAAGGTTAATCTCTTGTCAATTGATAGTTTTTTGTAGTACCGTATGAGTTCTTGTAGTGTCAGTTTGTATATAGAGATTAGTTTTTCCTTTTGGGTTTTGAAGTAAAGCCTTGGTATTGATAACAGAATACATAACCTATAAACTAAAGTTAAACTTTCATATTCAAAAAGTATTTTATAATTGTGGGTAGGGTTTGGAGAGTCGACGATTATAATATATTCTTATCAATCAGAGATATCACAAAATTTGAATAACGACTATTAAAATTGATGTATTTTTAGTACTTTTCACATTAAGGAGTTTGACACCTACTTGAACTAATCCAAAATGGATATACTTGTACTTTTGATCTTTGAGTTTATTAATGATTACTTTATCAAAATAATTGAGTAGTTTGATATTCTTTTTGAATAGGAAAGCTTTTTTCTTTTGTTTTATAGTGTATTTACATCAAGTATTTAAACTCTCAAAGTAGCTTTCTTATAAATTTAATCTACAGACACAATAGTAATGCTTCAATTGTCGAATTTTTAGAAATATTTGTATAATATTCATTAACAATTTGAAAGGTCTGGTCAGATTCTTGGGATTGAATGGAAACAAAACTTATAAAATAATTGATTCTCTTAAAAAAAATTAAAATATTTTATTTTGTTTTCTTATCTCCTATCAATATTACTAAATTACTACAATTATCTACGAAGATATTAAATCCATGACACGTATAACCCACGAGTTACTAGACTATTGTATCAAAACTCATCAAATATAGTAATATTTTAACAAATATTGCTAAACTACAACTCAAATCTTTTTGAAATAAAATATTAAAATTACCACATATATATATATATATATATATAATGATAGACTATTCAGAAAGTTGTTCATTTTAAAATGTATGTTGCAATCAAGAAATAAGAATCCAGAATTTCAATCCAAATAAACCGAGTAATAAATATTAGTACTACATGTAACCAGAAATGAACAAACAGTCATGGCATTTTCTCATATAACTAATTTATTCAACCCTCCCTTGACACAGTAATAAAAATTACTGGAATTCACCATCCATATATTTTCAAAACTGTCGAGAAGCACTACAGAGTCTGATTCAGAACTGATCATCTTCTAATATGTAACCATCAAAATACCCTTTCAATTTCTTACTCAGAGATCGTCAATTTGAAAAAGAAACTTAAAAAACTTTCATCCTACAAAACTGAAAGTTCTTATGCAAGGTTTATCTCTCTTAAAGCATGGTTTCGATTAGAGTTTTAGAGCTTCAAAAGGTTTTTGAGTTCTATGAAGCAACTGGTTGCTTCTGCACAAATGCAATTCCCTTCTCAATGCTAGCCTTCAATTCAGGCTTAAGAGCTTCCAAGGCCTTCTCTTCGTACTCCGATAAACCTTGAAGGTCAGATGGAATCTGTGCTTCAATCCCTTTTCTTCCCAGCTTGATCCGGGATGCAAAGAATGGAAGATCAGTCAGATCTGATTGCACATAAGAGCACTCGTAGACATCCCCATCTCCATCTAGAGCACGAAGGGATGATTCGACGAATCTTGCAGCGGCATAAGCCATGGACAGGGTGGCCGATCCTGCACCTGCCTTTGCCTCTACAACCTCTGTCCCGGCATTTTGAATCCTGACAGTTAATTCCTCGATTTCTTCATCTGTAAAGCTAACAGAAGGTTTCGTCTTCGACAGCAGGGGTAAAATGGTGATACCAGCATGTCCACCTATAACAGGGACATCGACATCAATGAGCTTAAGGTTTTTCCTCTGAGCCACAAATGTGTTAGCTCTCACAACATCCAATGTGGTAACACCAAAGAGCTTCTTTGGATCATAAACGCCTTTTTGCTTAAGAACTTCAGCAGCAATTGGTACCGTGGAGTTAACTGGATTGCTAATAATATGGATGAAGGCATCGGGACAATTATCGGCAACCGCCTCAACCAAAGTCTTAACAATGTTGGCATTGATATTGAAGAGGTCATCACGAGTCATACCGGGCTTTCTAGGAACACCAGCAGGTATAACCACCACATCCACACATTTCAAACAATTTCCTAATTCCGAAGCACCAGTGAAATCCAGAACTTGTGAAGGAGTATTGCAGTGACTGAGATCGGCAGCGACTCCCTTGACATTTGCTATATCATAGAGGTTCAGGGCCGAAACTAGTGGGGACATCTTGATTAGAAGTGCCAGAGGCTGACCTATCCCTCCAGCAGCTCCAAGTATCGCCACTTTGTAAGATCCTTGAATCTGTAAGCCATACTGAGACCTCAGGTTTGGCTTTTGCGCTTTCGGTGCAAACGAGCCTCTAAGAGCTGCACTGCTTTCTTTGCCAAGGAAGGAGGATACTGAATCACAGTTCAAGGATGTTGCCACCTTGAGGCCACTGAAACATGGAAGTGAATTCTGTGAGATGAACCCTACAGCAGAAGATTTTGTTTGAGGAAGTGGACTCCCCTTGCTCCTAAAGGAAACAGTCGACCCAATCGAGAATGTAGCTGCTGATGTTGTTGCCATCTCACGCAATAAACCAGGAAAAAGCGTCGCAAACCTACTATGAAACCAGATATTAGGTAATATAATCAACAAGCTGCATGACTCACACCAAAGCACAAAAAACATTTCCTGTTTTCAGTGGTAAAGACACAGATAGAGCTATTATGCCTTCAAATCAGAGCCTGAAAACAATAGCAAGGTCCTTCTACCATGCAACCAAAAGTTCCAATTTTGTATTCACTTTCATTTCAAAGCAAAATGAGCCATCTTCATCTTACACAAACTCCAAGTCGGAGAAGATTAAATACTACAAACTGATAAGAAAAAACCCGAGATCCCATTTCATGTGCAACACGTGTAGTCGAGAACGAATTACATACAGATCAATACATATACGCCTTGTTACCATATAAAATTTGACTTGGTGCGAGTTACCATATATTCTTTCTATTAATCACGCTCCTAACATTAGTTTCACAAATTTGAAATAAACAATCATGTGAATGGGATGGAGTATCCCTTAACCATAATCCACAAATCTAGAATGATGAATCCAGAAAATTCAATATTGAGGTTCCTCTTTTACAAATCATTGGAAATAATAACCGGGTATATTTTTCGAACATTTCCACCTCAGCATCAACAAAAGTTCATCTTTGCACCCAGAGATTTTACTCAGGCAACAGAGATAGAGAAAAATCAACACAATCGCCAACATTTCATTTTCAAGAGATGACTCAAGGCACGGATTATGATAGAAAAAAGAAAAACCATAACAGAACAAGGAAGATATTCCAAGCTCTATAAAAGAAATGACAACCGATAGCATAGATCTAAACAATATCACAGCCACTTATTGCTCGGATTAATAAACAAAACCCAAACTTTATTTGCACAAATAAACAAAACCCATAGCTTAGAATTCAAGAATTACAACACAAAATGAAGATAAAAAAAAAACTAGGAGAAAAAGAAACGAACCTTTGAGATCTGAAAAGAGATGGTAAGGGAAGCAAAGTGATATATAAGAGTAATGGGCTTTCTCTTTCGCTATTGGTATTTATAGGAAACCCCAATGAACTTCGACTAAATAAACAAAAAATTCGACTTCACCTACTCCTTTTGCTATAGAGTTTTCAATTATTTTTCTATTCTGCGTCTACCGAATACACCGCCACTACCTGGAAAGAATCTACCAAAAAAGCGTTTGATTTCCTTTTAGATTTCTCACGTTTTGTTGCCTTGCCAAGAAGAAATCGTGGCCGATGGTTGAATTTTTGCTTTCTATGGCTAAGATTTGCTTGCCTTGTTCTACCATTTTTTTTTAACGTTTAATATAAAAAATTGATCAAATTATTCTTCTTTTTCTATTTAGGTATGTAATTTTTTTTATTAATTTAGGTGTTTAACGTTTCTAATATTATCATTTAGGTGTCTCGACCATAATAACCATTAAAAATTTTCGTCAACCACTCAAAATGTGACACGTTGTGTCTTTACAAATATTTAAAAAAATTATTAAAGAAAAACTTAAAAGTATTATTATTAAAAAACCCAAAATATTTTTAAAACCTCAAATAAGTATCAAAATACTTAATCCCAAAAACATCTACCTCACTCGCTGGTCGTCCACCACCGCAATTGCCCCCAGCAGCCGCTATATATCCACCCATCACCGATTGGACCTTTAAACCCTCAAAATTCCTATATCTAAACCCTAAATCTCTAAATCCCAACACATATTCATCTCAATCGACGTGTGAACGATCAAAGGGTGGTCGAAGTGCTGGTGGCCGGTCGGTGTGTGAGTGAGTGATTATTGAAGGTGGTGGTAGCCATCGATTGAAATTAAAAGTCTTGGATATTTTATGAAAAATATAAAAAGTTTGGGACTTTTTTGAAAATTTATGAATTTTATTTTTTTAAAGTTAAAGTAAATAAAAAATCAAGTCACGTGTTTGATTAATTGATTTATTTTTAACGGATTTTTTAACGGCCGTTACAGTGTAAGCACCTAAATGATAATTTTAGAAATATTAAACACCTAAATTAACAAAAAAAACGTTTAAGCACCTAAATGAGAAAAGATGTATTGTTTAGGCAATTTTTAATATTAAGCCTTTTTTTTGAACGTAAGTTGGTTTTTTTATTCAACAAACATAATAACCACGGAGGTTTATACTATTTAAAATATATTATTTATTCATTTAAATATCTAAAATAAGTAGATAATTAAAGAAATATGAATAGATACTACCTTATAATTACTTCAATCTATTCAAAAAATTATTTAAAATAAGTATTTAAAATATATTATTTTTATTTAAATATTTAAAATATTTTTTAATTTAAAATATATCATTTTTTATCTAAATACTTAAAATACTTTTATTATTCAAAATATATACCTAAAATATATCATTTTTTCATTTAGGTACATAATGTATTTGTTTAATTAATACCATATGTCAATTTTAAGAACCTAGATGCAAAAATGATTTATTTTAAGTATTTATTCTGACAAAAAAAAAACTTTCAGTAACTAAATGAAAAAGATAGTAATCTATTCGAACCTCCTATTATGGCACAGTTGATGGCAGTGAAAAAAGGTTTAAATTTGTTTCTGGATTTGAGAATGTCGGCAAACCGAATGCTTATTTTGGAATTTGATAGTATGGTGGTTGTGAATTGGATAAAAAAAATCTAGCTAGTTCCACCCCGATGTTCCTATCCTTAGTAAAAGATATTGCTGAGATTGTGGTAGATAAAGGTGTCATTGTGTGGCATATGGAGAGAGCAATTAATTGAGAAGCGGATCAATTCGCCAAATTAGAGATTGGTTAAGTGCAATGGATTTATTTTTGTTGTTATTTAGTTCTTAGGGAATATTTGGCAACTTAGGTCATTGTTTAAGTTTGATGTTTAAGTTTGTTCCAGGCTGAGTCATATAAGGAGGTTGTTTTCTGTAGGGTAATTATTTATGTTTTATTTTTGTGCATCTTTTCATAGTATTGAGAACTGCCAAGGGTTCTTGGCGGTTTTGTGATCTTTTTGTACCTAGGTATTATGCAATAAAATTTCTTAGGCACTCTTTTCCTCCTTCTAATGTTCGTCAAGTCTTTGTTGCTTGACGGATATAAAGGGAGTTTTTAATGAGGCTTTCCTTATTATAAAAAAATACTTCTATAAAAAATAGTATACCTAGGTAGTGATGGACCGAGGGGAAGTTGAGGGCACTTATCCTCATGGAAATTTTAAATTATCATATATTTTAGATATTTTCTTTTTATTTTCTATTAATAGCATGTTTTCACCTCTCTACAATTTTATAAATTCATCTAATCCTAAAATTTTAAAAATTCACCCCTAACATAAAATCATGCTACCAACCTTGTACGTACATACTTATTTGTGAAATAAGTCAACCATAAATGATGAAAGTCGTTAATTGATCAAGCAGGAGATGTATGTAGCTTTAGAGAGGAACGACTACATACTTGTTATTTTGAAGAAAAAAATATTAAATTTAGTTTAATGTGTTCGGGAACAAGGAAAAATAATGAAACCAAAAAATTATTAAAATTTTTAATCTCCATTTTAAAATTTTTAGATCCACCGTTACAATTAAGTAGAGAAAGAAGTATGCAACATTTGAGAGGAGTAAATGCATACTCGTTATTTTGAGAAAGTTGTTAAATTTAGTTAAATGTGCTAAAGAGAAGGGGAAAATAAGAAATTTTGTATACCAATTTTGAAAAAAAAAATATTCAAATTTTAATCTCATTCTTTAATTTTAGATATGTCATTGCGATCAAGACATCCTAATAAAAATGATCTATCACTCAAAATTTTAAAGAATATAGACATACATAAAGTTTTATATTAGAGAATATGAACTTAAGAAATTATACTAAAAATATAAAATTGTAGAATATATATAAAACTAAATTATCAATAAAAATATAAAAAATACTTAAATTATACGAGAATTTTAAACTTTTCAAAAGTACAAGATATTCAACATCTATTATACAATAGAACTTCTATAAATTAATACTCGATACATTAATAACCTATCTAAAATAATAATTTTTCTAGGTCTCGACTTATGTCCAAAGTCTAAATTAATAAATTTGATAAATTAATATGATAATAATTTTTTGAAAGACTTTATATAAATTTATGATCCATTTAATATTTATAAATTAATAATTCTATAAAATTACAAATATAACTAGGACACCTTAATAAAATATGATTCTATTGTTGTTTACTTCTTAAAATTTAAATCTAGTTGTATTTCATCTCTAACTTTCCTTACTGCATCCAAAAGTTTTGGTGTTATGTTCTCATACTGCAACAAAAAGTTGTGAAGAGTTGTTGCCACTATAAGTGTTTCCTTCAGCGTAATTGGTTGCAAAGACATTGTATCATTTTCAGTTTGGTCGCAAAGTCACTCCATGAATTCATGTTATGAAGAATAATGTAGGTTCATTGAATCAGAATAAATCTCTTCAAATTAATAAATTATTAATTTATCGATTAATTAGTACCTCTTTAAATTAATAAATTTTTGTGGTCCTCACGTTATTAATATATACATATAGGGTTATGATCCACTTATAATATGTAAAACTCTTTAGTTTTACACAGATTTAAGATCATTGGATAAGTGAAAATAGATGGCTGAGATTGACTCCTTGTTTTTTTTCTAGTGAATATCTTCTCATTTTAAACTTTTAATCTCAGCCATCTATTTTCACTCATCCAACGGTCTCAAAATCTGTGTTTAACTAAAAGAGTTTTACATTATGTAACAAGATCCTATCCCATATAGGGTTAGGATCCACTTACACTATGTAAAACTCTTTAGTTTTACACAGATTTTAGACTGTTGGATGAGTGAAAATAGATGACTGAGATTAAAGTAAAATTAAGAGAGAAAGAATATGAAATAGCTAAAGGTTTAATTAAAAAGTAAGTGTCTAAATTATATCTTTTATATATTTTCGGTGTTTAAAGTTTTTTTGGTTAAAGTATATGTCGAACATTTATATGTTATTATTTAAAATAATTGATTCGTCAAGATTGTTAAAAACCCGTCAATCACTCAAAACATGGCACGTTTCGTATTTATATTTTTAGAAAAAAATACAAAACTTAAAAATATTATTATTTAAAAAAACAAAATAACCTTTATAATATAAAAAATTCAAACCCTCAAAATCATTAATTTCCAAGCCCATTCATTTTGTCATTAATCTTCAACTATTGTTATCGTTGTCGACTGACCATCCATCCGTCATCACCTATTTAATGATTAATCATTATCTTTGTCGTCGTCCACACACACCTAAATCTCTGTCTCTTACATCCAAACCTATAATCTTAATTCCTTTCCCTATAGCAACCACTTCCCCCTCAAAAGTTCATCGTCGACTAATCACCGTGTGATTTCAATTAATGGAACTTTGTATTCTTGAGCGCAATGTGGGTGGCCACATCACTATAAATGTTAAGCAGCCCTGGATGCTAAATAGTTTGGAGTTGAAAATGACCTCTTCATATATTGCGGTAAAAGAGTCACAAAAAAAGTTTTGAATGGTTGACAAATCTATTTAACATTCGTGACAGACTGGATACTAAAAATGATAAATTTGAAAATATTATATTTGTTTTGTGACTAGAAAAATCTTGCACTCCGAGTGTCGTTAGGTGGTTACTCATAAGGATGAAGTGTTCAATGTTATAATAGGGAAAACCAAAGACGCTAAAGAAGTCGAGGCTTCTTTTCTTGATAGAGACAGGATAGATCGAGAGCGATCTAGGAGATTGGTCAGTCTGAGCCTTCTGCACGCCCTGATGAGAGGACTCATATTGTTGCTCATGACGGGAGTCATACTGGTTCGAGTCCTACATTACCTCCACCTCTATTAGATAGTCGATGTGAATCTTCAGGGTTCACTCTGATACCAAGTTACGACCATTGTGGAAATCGACACGGGGGAGAGTGTCGTAAGAAGATAGGTACTTGTTATCATAGTGGCTCTAAAAAGCACTTTATGAGGAATTGTCTGCATCCAGCCTCTATCGATCGGACCCCCGCTCAGACTCTTGCACGTTCTAAGGCTTCTGTTCAGATTCTAGCTAGGAGTTACAGTCAGGGTAGGACTTTTGGATCTATTTCTAGGTTTGACAGTAGAGCTCACTCATAGAGTAGAGGACTAGCTGCT